CAGAAGTCACCCAACTGGTTGAAACGTTTATGGAAGAGAATTAAAGGAGTCTTTGGAAGAAATCAATCCTAATTGATAAAACATTCACAGTAACGAACCATAAACCATTTTAATGAATAATCCTGTCCAATATTGTTAACCTTATCAATGTGTATGTTAATCCGATCAGTCTGCTATCTTTCATCTACTCATTTATCATGATGTACAACTCTTTGCACATATCAGTACCTTTGTAATTATATACTTTCTTATCGCTCATGAGAACCGATACTAATCGTTATGTCTCGTGTGTTGCGTTTCAATGTTTCAAGCGCTTCGTATTTTATCAGAATGAGTGCTGCTATAAGACGTGTAGTAAATGCTGCTAAATTAATGCTTCGACTTTTTTCCCGATATCGCCTTTGGTCTCTTCTGAAACATTTTAATCGACACTGAATAAAGTACATGCTCGTGACAGTTCTGCGTTTTTTGCTTATTAACTTTGCAGCACACTTTTGCAATCATTTCGTTTCATCGTATGTGCACGATCTGGTTTGTGCAACTGCATCCTTTGATGCACCTTTGCATGGGCTATCATTGTGATTTCCGACATAGTTCGAAGTTTATCGTTCGTTATGGAATTTAGCAGATTCAGTTCATTCTTCAAATAACAACAAGAAAATTATGCTTGATATTCTGCAAAATCACCCAACTAACAGCTTGGAAGGTTCATTCAATGTACTAGGGTGTGTATACCTTACGAGGATCTATGAAGCGCCATATCAACAAACGTCTTCGGTCAATGAAGCTCACTGCTGAAAAGATATCAAAACAATAGTAGCACAATTAAGTTCATGTGATAGGAAACGAAAACAATGCACAATGACGAATTTTCTGAGTTGGAATGCCGCAGAATGTTTTTTTCAGCAATTCCTAGGAATGAGCACGTTCAAAATTGGATCATCTTTCAATTGACATGTTCTGAAATTAATCGTTTGCCTGAGCATTCTTAATATGGAGGATATTTCTGCTGTCATCACTATAGAAAGAGAGGTGCTGCAATGCTTTCGGTTTTTTTCAGATAGAGAATTGATTAATTTGCACAAAACTTAAGTTGAAAGTAAGAAATTAAGTTGAAAAAATTTTTTTAGCCTATTATTAGCGATTTTGAATTTAATATTTTCATTTTATGATCACACCTGGATTGGTTAGGTTATCAGACTTTTGCAAGCTTATTGACGTCATATCGCTGGCTGGGTTGGAATAATCTAATTTCACGAGAAAACACCTTAAAGAGTGTGTTCGGTAGAGCATTTTTTGGTGAGGCGATTCGTTTGCAATGCGTTTGTTTTAGTTGTGAATTCGAATGTTACTGGCTTGAATAAACATCATAAAACGACAACGCGCCATTGAATTTTGTTTTTATTTCGATTTATTCAATTTATTTCAAACAATATTTCGGTCCATATGACTTTAACGGAGCGAATTTTTCTTATTTTGTGAATATTCATTAGCTGAGCAAATAACGTTATAAATCATTCATGCTTTGTTCAGGATTTCATTATCGACAATAATATCAATTCGTTTATTCCAGTATGAATCATGTTCCGATCTAACTTCCAACCTGTCCATCTGTAGTAATGATGCAGTCGGGATTCCGTAGAGTAGCGATTGATGCCTTCTTCTTGAGCGAGGATTACTTCATAGGAAATTGAAATGATTGTACATTTGAAATTGATGAATATCTCGAAGAACTTAATGAAGAAAGTANGATTTTAAAGACCTTATAATTAAACGTTCATATCAAGTGATATGCACAGAGTCAATTCTGCTGAATAAACTCACAACCAGGAGCCTCATCGAATTTTGTCATGAACGTTTACGATTGAACGAGGGCACACTTACTAGTGGAATGTGAATATTTCGAGAAAAAAATTTGTCATGAAAATGATATCAAAAATCTGAAAGTGTGCACTTATCATTGGCAAAGTATTCAATTAAAAACAATCATTTCTTTACTAATTTCCTAACTAAATTGGCTCCTGAATAGGGAATATGAATATGAAGCATCATGAGAGGAATATAATTGCGCAACTCAGCTTGGCCATCATTTGATGACTTTCAATGGGCACTGTTTATTTGTTATGCTCGAGCTGAAGTGGAGAATGTGTGTTGGCACAGCTTTTTGATGATTAAACACAGCTTAGCTTATTTGTTCGATTGAAAGACGACGTCCCAGAAGAATCGTTGAACAAGGTTTTGTTCTTCTCAGTGCTAACATACATTTTCAGAATGTTGTCTGAATGTGTGAAAAGATTTAGTCAGTTTTAGAATTATTCCTTCGATTCCTTCAGACTGCTTCTTCACCTTCATCGACCACCGAACAAACCCGATTTTTTAGTGTGATCGAAAATCAACAGTGGATGATACATCATGTGGCCTATCACGGCCATCAATTTGAATTTCAGAAACAATGCTAAATTTGCACCGTCAAATAACGATAGATTACTTTTCCGCGCAGAATATTCTTGAGTTCGAATTAATTCATGTTTTGATATGTAAATATTTGCTCAATCATTAATCATTCGAGGAATATTTCTATATTATTGAGACACCATGAAATGTTGAAATGATTTAATCCACAATTTTGATTGGATCGTTCATTGTTACCGGTGTGAATCATTACAAGCAGCGTTGTTAAATCTCATGAAAATTCACTCGACATATCTGAAATCATCAGATAAAGACAAATTAAATTACACTTTATTTCAGTTCGCCTGCAGCAACCATAATCTTCAACGCTTCTCTGAGCACATTCGACATTTGATCATCGTTTTATGTTTAATTGATTTGACACGGTTGAACGTTGACAATCGTTTTGTTATAAAGTCCCCACAATCGATCATTAAGAATACACACTGTTCCACCACCACGCTTCATTTGTGATTTCTTAAAAATAATTCTGTATGACAGATATCACCACGCATATAATTCTTCTGCATTGAAGAAGCCAGTAGTAATTGACAAATCTAATTTGGAGAATCAGTTGAAGGTAATATATTCCACTACTTCGATGCAGACAGAAAATAAGAGTTTGTGTTTTGTATTCCTCCACTCAGTACGGAACGTAATGAGAAAAGGGAATTTAAATTGTCCACTGTCATTAATTTCACTAATTACAAAGTTATATAAAAACATGAAGATCGTTATGTGTTGAATACGATCTGAATAGAAATTAAACTTAATGCAAGTAAGTGTCCCACTTGACGATTTATATCACCGATGCATAACAATGGCTCTTTTTCATCAACACTGATCGCCCATTTTGAATGATCTTTGCTATTCTTGAACTGATTGCCATCCACATTCAGCGATTCGATATTGTTGACCTGAAATTGATTCGTTGCCATGAATAATCGATTGCCACAATAAAGCAGTTTCGATGTCAGTTACACGATTCAAGATGGCTAATGAATACCGTGTATTTCGATGAACATTCAGAATCGAAATCATTCGGACCATTCATCCAGGTTTCCGTGAAAAGTGACGTTTTCATTTCTGGAGCAACCAAATCCGCATATAAGTCTAAAAATTTGCATTTTTCCGAGCGTTTTCAAATTTTAACAGAGTGATGGGTGATGCATTAATTGAAACGAATGATTAGATGATTTTTCATTTTCATTTTCGAAAGTATTACGGATAGATTAATTTATCTGCCACCTGCTATTGCCAAAATGTCACTTAGCGAGATAATCAGTGAAAAGAAATTCTAAGTTGTAGTTGACTGAGTATATATCGAATTCGATGGATATGTTTGTTTGCATCTTTTAACTCTACGTTAGCATAGCAATGTGAGGGAAGCTCAGTTTTCGAGAGCATTCAAAGTAGACTCAGATCACTCACCTTTGTCGAATTTTTTGTGTTTAGCAAAACTTGTAAA